GGGGAAAATGGTGGAAGGCCCACGGAAAATATATGCGATCACCATTAAGTATCGCCCAGACTCTGAGAACTGCCGAGGGAAATTGCAACCAATCAAATCGAGTCAGTTGGACTCATGCGCCAGTCAACAAGTCCCTTGATTCAGCTATTCGAAGGCAACTTTCAGGTGATCGGTAAGGTCAATGAAGTAAAGATGAACTGCGGACTTAAACATCCCAGTAAATCGAGATGGCGTCAAAGGAAGGTTTTGGTCATGAATTCCCAATTTTAGACAAGAATGCCTGGTATCGTAAGAAGCGACGGCTTTCAGCTTCGAATTCCTCAAAATGCGGATGTATAATGCCTTCTGGGTGGTTGACAGAAGGATATGAGAATTTCGGAGGATACTGACCTCCTCAGTGGCGATCTGTGGTATTCAGTGAGGCATGCGACGGTGATACATTTTGTTCAATTTGTTTCATTGTCTGCATTCACAAATGGCCTCTACATGGTCCTGCTGGTATAATGTTTGCGACTGGGTACCACCTGACTAAGTTCGACTACACTTATGATGTCATTCTACTAGTGCCAAAAGAGAATGCAGTGTCTCAGGCCAAAGAGGCGGAGAAAGCAAGTTAGCACATTGTCTTCGACACCCGAGAGTGCTAGGGTTTCAATCCCATACTGTTTAAATAATATTACGCACAACGCAGGTATTACTAACGACATGGGAGCAACATGTTTGTTCCAACTTTAATACGTAAGTAGTCCACTAAGAGAGCAACGTGCCAGACACAGACGGCTGCTTCACGGTCGTTGCCGATCATCAGTGCGTCATAGGCCTTGTGAAGTGTGGTAGATAAGCATGTCGAGTGGGCGTTTGACCCCCACTGTTGTGGTTAGGAGCTCACTCGATCCCATTCTGTCCGCCCGCCAGCTAGCTACTGGTGACAACGAACTCTGTGTCATAGGACACATACCACATATAATAAGTAAGCAGAAGTCATTACTATCCGCAGCCGCTCTCGCCCCCAAAGACACCATTATCAGCAACAGCAGCATCACACTTTCCTCGCCTGTTGACACGGCGGGCATTATCGCTCGTAATGGTTGAACTGTTGTCGCACAGGAGTCAGAGAAAAACTGAAGCAGCACTGAGAAGCACTATCTGAGACAGATCCTACGAGTAAAGCACGGAGATTGAGAATTCGGAGACGAGCTTTGCACCGACCTTAGATCTTGTACACCTTAATAGGATACAAGTTATTGGGATAAATCCAATCATTGTACCTCCTCTCTTGACTCGGAGACTTCACCCTCCCCCTCCCCCCGTAAAATCGAAAGTTTTCACAATATGCGAAGAGGAGACGATCCACATTTGTTGCCACTAGAACATGCGGATGCCTCAAGTCCCTCATGGGAGACCGCGCAATGCTGTTGTAGGAAATCCAAAGTGGTGGTGGTGGTGGTGATGGTGGTGGTGGTGGTGGTGGTCGTCGTCGTCGTCGTCGTCGTCGTCTCAGGCAAGGACTCCGCCAATATGCTGAAGACCTGTGTCTGGAGTACGACTGACCGATAACGACGCCGACATGCAACCCACAATGGCTCTGATGCCATGAATTTTAGCACACAAACGGATCCCCTCAGCAACCTAAATTTCTGTAACTTACAATAGATATTTAAAATGGACAGTGTAATTACTTGAGGAAGTCGACAGAGTCCGTTATGTCGTGTAGACGTGCCACATCGGCGTCCCGGGCGGGAGCACACCAGGTGGCCATGATGTCGATGATGGGCGTTGTGTAGGAGGCCAGATCGAAACGTCCTGTCTCAGCCAGCTGGGCCTCCGCAGTCGCTATATCGAGCTTGTCGTCAATTTGAGCGCGAAGACTGCTCTGA